CAACAACCACTACTGCTACCAGTGGCGGATGTAGCCATGGTCTAGGGTGTGCAGTTGCACACCCTTGATTTTCAGTAAATATTACTATTATGAGTGACAATCAAAATTTGAATTCTAAAATGAGTGACAGTCTAAAATTTTGAAATCAATGATTATATAATGAAATGATTTGATTTGAATTTATTTGAATATAGTTAATCATGGCAGTTAATAAATATGTATTAAGTTAATTTGGAAATAAATAATTTTGATTGACAACTAATTGAGCCACCTAATCCGAGAAAGGTGAAGCCACAATAAAATACATAATTTATCCTATTTTATGATCCATATAATATGGAAAAAAATATAATTATTAAAAAATGTAAAAATTTTCATGATTATATATACAGATAATCTGGAACAAAAAATACAAACTAAAGTTGATTTGAATGAATCATATCTTAAAAAAGAGATAATTGATATATATATATATATATATATATATATATATATATATATATATATATATATATATATATATATATATATAATATATATATATATATATATATATATATATATATATATATATATATTTTTATTTTTTTTTTTTTTTTTTTTTTTTTTTTTTTTTTTTATTTATAATTATATATTTTTCAGAAAGAAAGAAAAAAAATATTATATTGTAAAATTTTATATTTTATATATATATAAATATATTTATTTATATGAAATAATTTAAAAAAATAAATATATATATATATATATATATATATATATATATATATATATATATATTAAATTATTAAATGATCATATTATTTCGATATATTTGAAAAAACTTAAAAGAAGTGAAATTGTTAGTATGAGAACTAGTTCACTCGCCCAAAGAGAAAGCCCAAGTAAATATAAAAGCCCTAACGGGCTTAAGTTGGACCGGACCCAACAACTTAAGTCCGTTAGTCTTTTTTCGCTCGTTTCTCATAAACCAATGATTGGAATTATATTTTCGGATCAT